AATGATGTCATTTGATATTTTACTGAATGTGTCTAACAGGTTCAGTGCGTCAATGGTTCAAAGTCATTTTTAAATATATTTTTGTATTTTAGTTTCTGTTTGGTTGACATCTTTTTTGGTTGTTTTTATATTTAAGGGTAGATTACTTTTTTTTAAAAATGTAAATCATGTTTTTGTATGTCTATGTTTCATTAAACTATTGCTATAAAACTCCATTAAGATATTTTGAACTCCACGAGTCGGTTTCCTCAATGAGGCTGAATAATAATTTGTTATTCTTGTAGTCTCTGTTTTTTAACAACATAGGCTGTAAAAATGAAGCTATTATGGGAATGTCTTAGACACCTCTGGTTTAAACATAACATGAGGTTGTACAGAAATCTATGGGACTCTGCAGTTCCCTCACTAGTTTAATGTCTTAATAAATACAACACAATGCTGATGTTGTAAATTTTGGTTCCACATTAGAGTCAAATAGGAGGATAAATCAGCTATGCTTTTCTTTGTAGCTGACAAGTAACTAGCCTATGTGCGTTCACTGTCCCTTGGTTTCTTAGTCAGATCTACTTCCTGTCTTCTTTTTTTGACATAATGATAGTAATGGGCCTCAGTCACACAGGCTTAAAGCCCAGCTGGTGACCAACTGACCACTAGTTGCAATAGAAAATGTGTATTCCCCAACCAGTTGTGAATGCTTGCTGTTGGTTTCTGTGAAATCGATTGCGAAAGCCATGTTCAGGGAGGCCTACATCAGGTCAGTGAGCGCTTGACAAACAAGCAGTCACTAAGAAAAAAGCATATTCCCAGACCGGTTGACAAGTGGTTGCTGGAGATTACTTGAAGTCTCTAGTGTGAAATTAGTTACACAGAAGGTGTTGCACCAAAAACGTCCCTGTGACTGGTTTGACTACTAACTGTGGTTTGTATGGGAAATGATAAGTTGTCTGCAGATGCTCGCAAGCTTCCAAGTGAAACTTCAAAATGTACATTGGAAAACAGAAATGGAAATTATTTACTTTCAAAGTAAAAGTTGCCAACTATCTTCTCTTTGAAGGCAATTTCTGGTTTGCATCACGCTTTTTTAAGTTTGGCGAGGGCTCGGAGGGTAAATGGCAAATGTTTGCAGACAAGTCGGCGTCTTCAACATACAGCACGGGCGACGACAGTAATCTGCTTTCGACCAAAGTAAAGTCACAAACTACTGCACTGGAGTACAGAAGCAGCAACTGAGATGATAGTCATGAGTCTCAGTGAAGTCACCGTCACTCGAAAGAGACCCTGGAAAGAGAGAGAATTTTTAAGCTAAACAGAAGGAGAGCCACGGGGAGAGGGCACGCCTGGGTCTTATATAAAGCCCAGATGGTTCTAGGGAAGCGCATGATGGGGACATGGAAGGGTGGAGGGAACTAGAGAGCGGAATCTGTGCATCTGACTGAGTGACCGAAGGGACCTGGGAGCCAACACCACAGGCTACAACACCTGGATGGAAAGATACAGATATTGGGGTCAGTCAAGGAAGCAAGGGGTGTCATGAAAAACACAAAGTGTTGCTTTTGCGCAGTGCAAACAGATGTGTGCGTGTATAAAGTTGTTAAACCTTTTATTTTTTACTACAGATGAGCCTAAAGTCAGCTTCAGTAAGCCCAACAATGATCTCCAAACACTATACATTACGTTTTCTGATAAAGCACTTTTAAAGTGACGTATCTCAGTCTGCTCGTCCACATCTTCAAACAAATGTTGTGTTTTCCACATAGTGTTAATCCAAGAATTACTGCTGCTGGGCATCCATTTCTGGACAAATCCAGCAAGCCACAGGACCCAACAAAGCAGATAAAGAAGGAGGCTTTACTGCGTCTAAATGAGCAAACGAGTCTGGAAAATGTATGCTATCAAAACCCAACCTCTAAACATCTACATGTTAAGTGCTCTCAGATGGTTAATTTAGCTTTTGAGAGTTTAAGATGGTGACATCTGACATTTAATGTTACTTTTGGGGGGGGTTTATATTCAAAATGATAAAGGTACACTATATAAAAGTTCAAGTTGCCCAGTTAAAACTATAAATGCTCCCAAACTTTTATATGAATTGGTGGACTTGGATGGATGGATGGATGGATGGATGGATGGGGACTGCTGCATGAAAAATAGTTTCTCATGATGCAAAAGAAAGATGGTGCCTCATAATTATCCCGCTGTCTGATCAATGAGGACTATTCCCTGTGATTAAATAGTTGCCTGCTTTTTCTTCAGAGGGATTTTAGGTGTGACCTTTAATCTTGTCTTGATGATACTGTTGTGTTACTAAGCAACCAGTCGGGTCTGGTTGCATGTTTCAGATAGCTGCAAATACTCTGAAATTTAATCCCCAGCATGTTGTCTTTATGCACCCAGTCTCTCCTGTTTACAGCAAGTTAGCCAAGCTAAGCTACTGCTGGCTGTCCGTTTGCATATGGCATACGTTAGAGCAGTATCGGGTTTCTCATCTGACTGTGACCAAATAAGTTTCCCAGAAAAGGTCTGACCTAATTGGATACCAATTCATTCCAGTGTATTTTATTGCTACAAGAATAATCATGTTTTTCACAGTAAATAGTGATTTTTGCATTTTAAATGTATGAACTTTGCACTGACACAGTGTCTGTTTTTCAAAAGATTCGTGTCCACTGCTTGTTTTCAACTTCAAATTCACTGTGAGAGGTGTGTGCGTGCGTGTGTGTGCGTGTGTGTGCGTGTGTGCGCGTGTGTGCGTGCGCGTGTGTGCGTGCGCGTGTGTCTGTCTTAAAACATCAGGTTGAACTTTTGAAGAGCTGACACCTAAGATTTAGGGGTCAGCACTATTCCTAGTGTTTTGTCTCTTGCTCGTGTTTGTCTGGTCTCGGACACACAGCGTGTGTCAACCTGTGTTCGTGTGCATGTGCCTGTGTGTATCTTCTAAAGGCCCACACCTGGTTTCTAATAGGGAAAGACGTACAAGAGGCACAGCAAGAACACGCAGCTGTCTCGCATATTTCTTTTCCTTCCAAAGTCAACTCCAGACGGAGATGTCATAATGTGCGACACGCTGCGCTGGCAGGCCCACCGCTGATGGTTTCCACTTGCACGCCGCTGTGGCCGTGGTTTTCACTGCGAACAGCTCCTCGTCCACGACACTTGTGTTTGCTGATCTTCCTGTGTGTCCCACCTGCAGCCTTTAGCCTAGCACGACGAAAGGTCAAGGATGCTAGGGGGGAAAAAAAGATCTTTGTTTTGCTCTTCTAACATGCAAGCACAGCTAGACTCGAAGACAAACTACAGGGCTTTGGGGAAAATAGCACAGCTGTTTGTTTGTTTTGTGCGCTTGTTGCTGTTTTGTTTCTGACTTTAAAAAAATTCTATTTGTAATTTTCTGTTTATGAACAAGACGTCTTGCCATATTCTGGAAGCATGAAGTGTGAGGCTTGTGGTTCTTTGTCTGTGCACAGTTTTCTCTCCAGAACGTCGTGTCCTGAAGTGTTTTTGTAATGTTAAAACCAAACATGCAAATCTAAGAAATAATAATATATATTTTTAAACTTTTATGGCATTGCAGAAGAATTACCAGTTTGCTACAGCACTGAGGGGGTGTGTTTTTATGACCAGTATTCCTCATTTTCGTCAGATTCAAAGCCAATCGCATTGAAAATACCAGGGTATTTATGCGACGAGTCTCAGAGAGCAGCCTCTGCCGCACATAGATAACACAGGGAGCCCAGATGAATGAATGGTGTCATTCATACAGCAGACTGCAAGAGCTTATAAGACATATATTTATATTGGCCAGAACCAGACTGCTGTATAAAAGCATCTTAAAACAAGGAAAATTCATTAAAAAAAACTGGCAAAGTAAATCCTAATGTAATAGTCCATCCAACCATCTTGCTTTTAACACAAAGGTAAAAAACTGAAATAATAATAATTATTCCAAATCTTTTCATGCTTTGTCAGGCCAATATCAAAAAGAAATTTTCCACTTATTTCACATTATGAATCTCATACAAATCTCTCAAAAAATTGTATTCATATATATACAGTACCAAATCCTACAATAATACAGAGCGCAACGATCTCACTGTGAGCAAGCCCTTGGCAGCAGCGGGAAGGAAAAACTCCCTTTTAACAGGAAGAAACCTCCAGCAGAGCCATACATAAATACAGAAATTTTACCTCTTGAAAAGTTAAAACTATTAAAACAATTTTGCTGTGTTGTTGTACTGACCAAGCCTTTGTCTAACTGAATTACCAGAATGAAGGCAAATCTATGTAAAACCCCAAGACTCCGTAGATCGTAGCGAGGCAGGTGAAGGAATGTATCTCTGGCAGTGCTCAAATTTCACTAAAATAAAGTACATCCTAAATTAGCAGCATTTATTACACTGAAAGAGCACAAGTACCTTGCTGTGCACCCACAGACAGACACACAGCCAGACACAGCTGAGGTTATAGAGGAGGTCAGGGGAGAACGACCATCTGATGCCAGCAGATGGAGGGATGCAGGGAGGGAGTGGAGGAAGAGGAGAAGCTGCAAATCAGGACGACATGACCGAAAGCTTATCGGCTGTTCTTAAGGCGCTGATTTCACTTCTCATCCTGTTTGCTCCAGCGCACCCACCTTATGTTTATGTTAAACTTTGCAGTAGACGAGATAGTAGCTTACAGAATATATTCCATGAGAGAGGGCAAGCAGTGAATAATTAAACTCCATATGCACTCCAAGATGATTGCTAACGATCCTTTCAATCCATTTGAATCCGATGGCCAAATAAGGTTAAAAAAAGTAGAAAAAAGAGGCTCTCAGGATTCTTCTGTCATAGCATCCTTTTCCTGTTCATGCTTCTACATGAGATGGGGTTTTTTCCCCTTTTGATTTTTCATTTGCCTGGTGCACTTGCCGGACCTGCTGCAGCAGCACTATCTCAGGAACACACTCGCTTCCGTGTCACCTGAAGTCACCTCTATCTCTCCGTGTGTCTTTGTTGTAGAACGGAGCAGTTCCAGGAGAGCCAGTGAAGAAGGATGAAAACTCCCGGAGAGGGAACTGGGGGAACCAGATTGAGTTTGTCCTCACCAGTGTGGGCTATGCTGTGGGCCTGGGCAATGTCTGGAGGTTTCCATACCTGTGCTACAGAAATGGAGGAGGTAAGCATTACAACGAAGACCTGAGCCCATTATCTTTGCATTGACAAACTAAACTACAGTGTACCCATGTTCATAATATGATACAGACACTGATTTTTATGAAACATCAGAAGCTGCATTTATTATAATTGTTCTATTAATGAGGTCCAGATATGTAAACGAGTGGCAATCAGTGTGGTATCGATATCCTGCTCAGTTTGTTGCTCCAGCCTCATATTAATATTCAGTCTCTAGCCTTTATGGAGCCATCAGAAAGAGAGTAATGACATTACTTTGTACATTTGCTGCTCTTCAGCAGACTTCCACACAGCCTGCCAATCAGAAAAAAGTGAGTTTGAAGTCTAGAGAAAATATTTTCTTTCCCAGGCTAAACTGAGGGGCTGCATTCATTTATTTATTTATTTATTTTTGTACATTTAAATGATGACAAATTACTGCACTGGAGTCCTAGAATGAAACTGTGAAGCTGAAAAGAAGCTTACTATGAATATATCATATATAACTTAAGAATGAATTCTAATTAAAACAAAAGAAAATAGACTTGTGAACCTTTAGACTTGCTTCCCTCCCATACCTTCCTACCAGGTGTATTACTTCCATATCAGTTATGTACTATTGTTCTGTTTATCGACTTTTATAAACTTATGATGAGCTGTTGATATCTTTAGAGGGAGTGTATTTCTCCTATATTGGCTCCTCATTGGCTCCCTGTTATTACAGGCTCGAAGTTAAAATCCTCCTCCTCACATACAAGTACTGGAATAATGATATCATATTTAAAGACCTCCATAGTACCATGTTATCCTAACGAAGCAGTTTGCTCTCCGACTGCTGAGTTACTTGTGGATATTCAAAAGTAGAATGAGATTTCTTTCTGTTAAAAGGGGGTTCCTGTGCATAATATAGGAAGTTCGGGTTTTCTCAGGGTTCTTTTTCTCTGTTTTTTTTGTTTTTTTGTTTTTTTTTTTGTATTGAGATTGTACTTTGCCCTTATATTCTCTACACTGTATATATGATCAGATACGTGTCAACTTAGAAATAATTCAGTCGCTCAGAGGCAATACCACTGTTATTTAATCAGATGATGTTAGACAGTGGTTTAGTCTTGGTGGATACAATAGATATGTTTCCTATCATGGCAACTAGTGGGTGTTTTCAAACTTTTATTTTGGGTTGTAACCCCAGTGTAGTAAGATACTAAGAATTTATCAGCCCAATCAGCCCAAATAGCAAAGAGAAATTAAAAACGCATGCCATGAAAGAGTTTGGGTCTTAGGAGGTTAAACCTACTTTCTTCTAATTGGCTGCCCCTCTAACAGGAGTCCAAAGCCTGTTCTGACTCACGGAAACTACTTTTACATCGTTGTTCAAAGCGTTGTTTAAGTGTTGTTTAAAATGATAATGCAACGCTGTAATC